GCTGGAGACAATATGAACAGTGATAGGTGTCCAGTAAACTGGACACAGAGTGAATAGTGATAGGGTGTGCAGACAGCTGGAGACAATGTGAACAGTGATAGGGTGTCAAGAAAGCTGGAAACAATATGAACAGTTATAGGGTGTGCAGACAGCTGGAGACAATGTGAACAGTGATACGGTTTCCAGAAAGCTGGAGACAATGTGAACAGCGATAGGGTGTCCAGAAAGCTGGAGACAATATGTACAGTGATAGGGTGTGCAGACAGCTGGAGACAATATGAACAGCGATAGGGTGTCCAGAAAGCTGGAGACAATATGAACAGTGAAAGGGTGTCCAGAAAGCTGGAGACAATGTGAGCAGCGATAGGGTGTCCAGAAAGCTGGAGACAATATGAACAGTGATGGGATGTGCAGACAGCTGGAGACAATGTGAACAGTGATAGGGTGTCTAGAAAGCTGGAGACAATACGAACAGCGATAGGGTGTCAGAAAGCTGGAGACAATATGAACAGTGATAGGGTGTGCAGACAGCTGGAGACAATGTGAACAGTGATAGGGTTTCCAAAAAGCTGGAGACAATGTGAACAGCGATAGGGTGTCCAGAAAGCTGGAGACAATATGTACAGTGATAGAGTGTGCAGACAGCTGGAGACAATATGAACAGCGATAGGGTGTCCAGAAAGCTGGAGACAATATGAACAGTGAAAGGGTGTCCAGAAAGCTGGAGACAATGTGAACAGCGATAGGGTGTCCAGAAAGCTGGAGACAATATGAACAGTGATGGGATGTGCAGACAGCTGGAGACAATGTGAACAGTGATAGGGTGTCTAGAAAGCTGGAGACAATACGAACAGCGATAGGGTGTCAAGAAAGCTGGAGACAATATGAACAGCGATAGGGTGTCAAGAAAGCTGGAGACAATATGAACAGTGATAGGGTGTGCAGACAGCTGGAGACAATATGAACAGCGATAGGGTGTCCAGAAAGCTGGAGACAATATGAACAATGAAAGGGTGTCCAGAAAGCTGGAGACAACGTGAACAGCGATAGGGTGTCCAGAAAGCTGGAGACAATGTGAACAGCGATAGGGTGTCCAGAAAGCTGGAGACAGAGTGAATGGTGATAGGTAGTCCAGAAAGCTGTAGACAATATGAACAGTGATAGGGTGTGCAGACAGCTGGAGACAGAGTGAATAGTGATAGGGTGTCCAGAAAGCTGGATACAGAGTGAATAGTGATAGGGTGTCCAGAAAGCTGGAGACAATATGAACAGTGATAGGGTGTGCAGACAGCTGGAGACAATGTGAACAGCGGAACTAAGACTAGCATAATCTCTACAACCACAACAAGCCTTCACCTTTCTCCTGCAGAGCCTAAATCTTAGATCCACCTGTCAGTAAGCCTTTATTCTGCCTACCAATTACAAACCTTCACTCGGTGACAAATTCATTCATCGGGTGGTCACACTCCCTGATTTACATATCATCGCATCCCGTAGATCGCAGATCATGATGTCATCATTGTATTGTCTGGAATCGATTTTTTACAGACCGCCGTCGTATTTCTGGAAAGTTGCTGATTGCGGAGCAAACAACAAATACACAACCATCTATAATCCAGACCCAGATCTGCGATCACAAAACCTGAATAAGCGCCCTTCCAAATCGCTCTCCGCTTCAGGTGAGGTGAGGTGAAACTGAGTTTAACGTCGTGCTTGAGAATATTTCGCTCATATGACGACGTGCATGCGTGATTATGTGTATGTGCGGCTGCTTGTACTAGCCCAGCTGGTTTTATAGTGCTAGCCTACTGAGATACCATGCCGCAGTGAAGCATGAATACCCCACTCAGACACATTATACTGACTCCGAGCCGACCAGTCCTTGTTGTACCCATTAATGCCGAGCGCTAGGCAGGGACCAACAAGTACCATATCTTAACGTATTTTGGTATGACGCGGTCGGGGATCGAACCCGCAACCTTCCGCTCTCCGGGCGAACGCCCTAACCCCTACACCACGGAGGCAGCCTCTCCGCTTCACGGAAACAGCTCCCCATAAACAACTCCAACAGCCAGCCAACATTGACACCTACACCAATCGTTCCACCTACCCCTGTACACTACTAGAGCCAACGGTAGAAACACCACCAAATCCCTGGAACCAGAGGTGCAGTTTACAAAACTGACCGTAACTGTGGACACTCCAATGCAGGTGAAAAATCCCGCACCATCAACGCCAGAAGCAAAGTGCACAAACCTTCAAACTTTAAATTAAATCAAATAGAACATCAGCCATCTTCGCACAAAATGACCCAGTCACGATGTTAATCGGGAAAACATCCAAATCCTCTTCAACAACTGGAAGGACTTTACTAGACTAACAACTAGTCACTGAAATGAACATATTTTACAGAACAAAACAGTTCATAATAAACAAATAAAATATAATGAAAAGGAGCCCTGAGACTTTCTTCATTTTCAGGAAACTGGAAATCTAGACTTGCCGCATAATCTAGAATTGCATGGGCTTTCTTGGATATGTTTGTTTCAGGGTCTGTATGACAGACAAGGAGTTCACTAAAATAGCCAGTATCTCAGACCCCAGAGAATGTATTAAATATTCTGGAATGATTTGGCAAGTCTTGGTTGCCCACCTTTAAGAATTGTAAACCAAAAGTCACTGTGTTCTTTAATCTGATTGGTTGAAAAACGTGATCAAATGGTATTTGATTCCCGGAAATTCTCTGCGTATTAATACATACAAACATCGCTCACACCATTGTATTGTTACGTCGTCAGCTGTGATGACGTCATTAAAATCATATTGTGACGTAAAGTCCGAATGACGTCACAAATGAGCAGTTCCCAGATGCTACCATGGGAGACAGCCGAAACGGCCGGCTGATGACATTTCACTGCTGTACCCGTACTCGATGTCAATGAGAGCAGACACGAAAAACGTGTGTGGACCTTTTGGTTTACTTTTGTGTTTACAATGTCGATAAACATCATGTGTTGGCGAATTTCCGGGTGTATTTGAAGCACGGGAATATTTCATTTGAAACCTCCGGCTGACGCCGTCGGTTCCAAATGAATTCCCGTGCTTCAAATACTCAGTAACACCCGGAAATTCGCCAACACATGTTGTTTATCTCCTAAACATATGTTATATTTGGGATAACACTTTCTCAGTAAAGTACAGGTCCTAGTGCTTTTGTTGGTTTGAGTCCCATCCGGGATTCTAACCCCCACGAGTACATGTGTGTAGGTGCCTGACTGAGGATGTGGGTGAGAATCCCGGATGGGACTCAACCCAACAAAAGCACTAGGACCTGTACTTTACTGAGAAATAGAGCATCTCACCCAAGTGTCTTCTGATATCAATTATATCAACACGAGTTGATAAAGTTACAAATATCCGAGGCTTGCCGAGGATATTTTTACTTTATCAACGAGTGTTGATATATTTGATATCAGAAGACACGAGGGTGAGATTCTATTTATCATCCAAAATCACTCTTCATTAATTTTCAATGAAAAATGTACATCTCTGAACATGGTACTGCCATTAGACTTGCACAGAGATGTCACAGGATTGTGATGTCATCAAGTACATGACGTCATAGCATTGTCAGGGCATTGTACAAAATCTACTGTCAAAACGATATCTCCTAGGAGATATCGTTTGATCTCACACAAGCGATATCTCCTGTGGAACACAGTTTTGGATGATAAAGTGTAATCCCAAATATAACATCTGGGATTCTCACCCACATCCTCAGTCATGCACCTACACACATGTACTCGCCAGCACACAAAGTGGGGGTTAGAATCCCGGATGGGACTCAAACCAACAAAATCACTAGAATCTGTACTTTACTGAGAAAGTGTAATCCCAAATATAACATATGTTACAGTAATTATTACCGTTACAGTTTAGGAGATAATTATCAGTAACTATTATTTACAATTGACAACATCGGTTAGAATAATCAAGTGATGTTTTTTTTAATTATAGGATCAAAGCGCACATATCCACGCAACTAGTACATGCTCAAGGCGCTGGTATTTTTTCCCTCGACCTTTGGAGTCAATCTCAACGGCACATCGTATTATCAATCTCAATATAATTCTCTTCCAGTCTAGCTGGGTTCCTCGAGATCGCCACGCGTTCTCCGTACATCGTGTCGATACAATAGGTCTATTAAAAATGTTATTAGTTTTGCTTATCCATGTTGATCGTTCTCGTGTGCAATCATTGTTCTGAATGAATTCTTCGTCTACTAAATATCATTCCGTTCTTCTTCTTTACCCATATTTGCTTGGCAACGGTGGTCCTACTGACAATTTACACCAGTATAATGAAACGTTCTCCCTGTGAACTTTTAGTCTATTATGTTAACTTCATCCGTTAAACGTTTAATATCAGAAATTATACTTTCAATATAGTCACTATATATAGAGAATCTCACCCAAGTGTCTTCTGATATCAATTATATCAACACGAGTTGATAAAGTTACAAATATCCGAGGCTTGCCGAGGATATTTTTACTTTTATCAACGAGTGTTGATATATTTGATATCAGAAGACACGAGGGTGAGATTCTATTTATCATCCAAAATCACTCTTCATTAATTTTCAATGAAAAATGTACATCTCTGAACATGGTACTGCCATTAGACTTGCAGTGCAGCGATGTCATAGCATTGTGACGTCATCAAGTACATGACGTCATAGCATTGTCAGGGCATTGTACAAAATCTACTGTCAAAACGATATCTCCTAGGAGATATCGTTTGATCTCACACAAGCGATATCTCCTGTGGAACACAGTTTTGGATGATAAAACAAAATATTCGTGTTCAAAAGTGCCCACTTTTTCCACGCAGTGATATTCTTTAAATGCGTACGTCGATTCATAGTAAGCTTCGTCGAAATAAGTTATTTCAGTGTGTATTCTGAACTCCGAATCCATAGTGAAAATTGCTAGGAAGGTGAAGGTCGCGAATCGGCGCGCAGTCACATTTAGAGGCGGGAAGGCGCGCATGGTAGAGTACGTGTTTACACATATCGCCTTCAATAACAAGGTATGGATATGGAATATTAATTGGATTAAGTGATGTTTTCGCTATATTATATTTCTCCATAAGGTGTACACCACGCTAGTGTACGAAAACTGAGCGGTCACCGGCAGTCGAACGCATTTGACAAACTGCTTGTTTACCGCGTACATGATCAGGTTTCCATGTGCTGTGGGCAGATGCATGTGCAATGATGTATTTCATTTATCACACAGATGTCTGTTATAGAGCGTGTATGTATATATGATGATAAATAATTCATTTGTGTCAGTCTGCATTGTAAATTGATCAGTAAATCTATATCGTGCACTGTAGGTTTATCCACCGTCCTGCACAAGGAATTGAGAAAGAATATCCTATGTTCAAATGTTGACGTTTAAAACATGATATTTTGTACAGCTAATTCAATTTCTTGAGTGAATAATTTGTGGATACTTTTATTATTCATTTTGGGATCGACAGATTATAGTGCTTAAAGCCTATTAAGGGCTGAATCTGATTATGGGTTACACTGACAAGGGAATTATACAGCCCCTGAAGGGAATGTGTCCAACATGTAAACCACTTACTACCTACAGCAGCTGATAAGTGTGAAATAAGTCTGAAACTAAGCATACCAAAAATCTGTTTGCGCTTAGATATTAGACCACACTGCTTCTTTTTGATAAAGGAACTTAGGGTTTTGACGAAGATAACATAATTATGCACATCCATATACAGTATATCAGGAAAACAGCTGCAGAAGTTGGGCACCTATTTCCCTCAAACCAGTACATGACACATTACACTTCCACAAGACTCCAATGTGATAATTAAAATGAAAATTTGTAAAAACAAATATAAAATAACAGACTATTGACACATACAAACAACTATAATGTCTGTTCTACTCCATGATGCTTGATGTGGCATGTTTGTGAGTTTTTATTATTATTATATTGGCACCAAGTTACATTGTGTAACGAAGGAACCAGGATGAGAGTGGTTATTTAATCATGTACTGACCATTTTGAAAATGTGTGCAAGTGCTTAACAGGAGTGTGCTCATTTGGTTCTTTATTCTTTTTGGTCAGCAAAAATAAAAAAATTGCATCATGAAACTAATGTGAGTGTGTCACTTACAGTTTTTGCAGCACTTTCCTGCTATCATGGGTTTGTATTACAAGGGGGTATGCACATTAAATGAAACACCGAGAACAAGTAAGGTTGGTATTAGTTAATGCTCATCACGTACCGCACATGCATTTGTTTTACTGTTCCATCTACTGCGCATACCCCCTTGTAATACAAACCAATAATAGCAGTTTGAATCCATGATCGTTTGTTAAACAACTTTTATCCTAAGTTGAATAAAAGTCAGAGATTTAAATGTTCATTTGGCAAGGTAAAATTATGAGAATTCGCAATCTTAACTTCACTTAATTTGATTTACTTTTGTTGTAGGTGAAATTCATTGGTATGCTTTCACTGCAAACAGACTATAATATGTGTTATGATGGAAAACAGGATTATACAAATAATGTTTGTATATAATTTAGTATGATGTTTTTGTGTGTGCTTGACTTAGAGACATGTTTTACAACATGGTTGATTGAATTTGGGACGTCTATTAAAACAAATGCCTCACCGTATTTCATGTGCAGTATCACTTAATATGTACGGATCATGTCTGTTTCTATTGTCTTATGCTAGCAATTAATAATATTTTTACGTAAATAATGGTATGCTTATTGCATGTTTGCATCATAGTACGTGCAATGGTAGGTGTAGTTATTTAAATACATTATTTTGTGTAAGGTTTATTTGTTTTACTTGTTAACCATCTTTGTTGGGAGATGTGTTTAAATAGGCCTATTCAGTGATGACATTTCTTTTGAAAAAAAACCCCATGTTGTTTGAATCACATATACCTGATGTAAGTAGCTTTCATTTCCATTCACATCTATTCCATGTTCACTGATGTTCATTTCAGAGGTTTACAGATCTTGTAATGTACATGTTGCATTAAAAGCAAAGCAAACAACAATTAGATAACCTGTTTTTAACTTTTATTTGAAGCAGTCATCCCAAACTACTGTTGGATGTTAGCTACAGTCAGTTTTAAGCTCTCATTTTCCTATTGTTTCTATTTATAACAGATGAAATAAATTGATCAGCAGGGCTCCAGATAATTTTTCAACATCAGGAGTACTTAATCCTTATTTTTTCAATATAGGAGTACTGGAAAACCTTAAGAGTACATTTAGAGTACTGAGTGGAATTTAATGGAGTATCAGTAATCTTGTGTTTCGTTTCATATATATGCACCACAACATTGCTACTCTTGTGTAAACAGGTCAATAAACAATAAAACAATACTTTTTCAGATAAATACGTCTGTAAATGATTCTAAGACCGTACACCATTGCCATGGTGCGTATCTGCTATGCTTTCTAAATGATTTCCAACCATATTGTGCATATTTTTATCCGTACATACGGCCTTTATCTGTAGCCCTGTATCAGTTAATAAAACTGGGGCGGTGGGGTAGCCTAGTGGTTAAAGTGTTGTCTCGTCACGCCGAAGACCCAGGCACAATGTGTTAAGCCCATTTCTGGTGTCCCCCGCCGTGATGTTGCTGGAATATTGCTAAAAGCGGCGTAAAACCAAACTCAGTCAGTCAGTCAGTCAATAAAACTACCTGAGGACATGTTACTTACGTTTCCTGTTTTACCTGAATGTTTGTTTCTAATATTTCGTGCAAATTGCCATTTCATGAATGAATATATCAGTTTGGCCAGCCAGCTATATCTTGGAAGGCCATTGTCTCACCTTGGTGGCCCAGTATTAACATAGTGCACAGGTATCATTCAAACCATTAAAAATTATCCTCATTACTCTGAAAGTGTCCAGTTTCACATTGCTTAGACTAGATAAGTGTCTTGTCATCAAGGACGCTGTGCACAGACTTATCTGTTAGAACAGGTGTGGTGAAGTGGATAGACTTTCTGCCTGGAGAGAGTTAGGGTCTTGATTTAGTCCCGATAAAGATAATACAAAGGTGTTAAAAGATAGTATAATGTTATCCTGTTTGCCACTTAACAATAAGAGGATAAACCAAAGCCTGTGCCAACTTGTATACTAACTTGTGATCTTAGCACTAACTGTCTTAGGTATGTGGTAGAGTATGTGAGTTATGACCACTTTGAGCAAGTGGCCCCTGGTTGGCTTGGATTGCTGTTGTTAAATGCCGCTCTCAGTTATTTTTAAGCTAGATGACGGCAGTCTGAACATAATAGTGTTGGGAATTCGTTGAAATCTCACAATTGATGATTGATTCATTACCAACGAACAATCATCGAAAAAATTGGTTAGCGTCATTTTTAAGATTTTCCTATCCAGGTTGGGGGCGGTGGGGTAGTCTAGTGGTTAAAGCGTTGGCTCGTCACGCCGAAGACCCAGGCAATCCCCATGTGTTAAGCCCATTTCTGGTGTCCCCATTGATGTTGCTGGAATATTGCTAAAAGCGATAAAACCAAACTCAGTCAGTCAGTCAGTCAATAAAACTACCTGAGGACATGTTACTTACGTTTCCTGTTTTACCTGAATGTTTGTTTCTAATATTTCGTGCAAATTGCCATTTCATGAATGAATATATCAGTTTGGCCAGCCAGCTATATCTTGGAAGGCCATTGTCTCACCTTGGTGGCCCAGTATTAACATAGTGCACAGGTATCATTCAAACCATTAAAATTATCCTCATTACTCTGAAAGTGTCCAGTTTCACATTGCTTAGACTAGATAAGTGTCTTGTCATCAAGGACGCTGTGCACAGACTTATCTGTTAGAACAGGTGTGGTGAAGTGGATAGACTTTCTGCCTGGAGAGAGTTAGGGTCTTGATTTAGTCCCGATAAAGATAATACAAAGGTGTTAAAAGATAGTATAATGTTATCCTGTTTGCCACTTAACAATAAGAGGATAAACCAAAGCCTGTGCCAACTTGTATACTAACTTGTGATCTTAGCACTAACTGTCTTAGGTATGTGGTAGAGTATGTGAGTTATGACCACTTTGAGCAAGTGGCCCCTGGTTGGCTTGGATTGCTGTTGTTAAATGCCGCTCTCAGTTATTTTTAAGCTAGATGACGGCAGTCTGAACATAATAGTGTTGGGAATTCGTTGAAATCTCACAATTGATGATTGATTCATTACCAACGAACAATCATCGAAAAAATTGGTTAGCGTCATTTTTAAGATTTTCCTATCCAGGTTGGGGGCGGTGGGGTAGTCTAGTGGTTAAAGCGTTGGCTCGTCACGCCGAAGACCCGGGTTCGAATCCCCACATGGGTACAATGTGTGAAGCCCATTTCTGGTGTCCCCCGCCGTGATATTGCTGGAATATTGCTAAAAGCGGCGTAAAACCAAACTCACTCACTCACTATCCAGGTTGTTATTGCAGATATGTAGAACATGATGCACCTTGCTACTTTAAAGTGATGACTGATATATCATGAACATAAACTTCCCGGAGTCTTCAAGAAATATTCAGTCATGGCTTTTCAGTTAGTGAAGTGAGGTTTCTAAGAATTAAACACGTTTTCATGCCCTGACAACTTCAACAATATGTTCCATTGTCAAGTATTTCAAAGACTAAAACAGTAGTTCCAAACTCGTTTATGTTCGATTATGAGAAAATGTGATCGATTGCTTGGCGGTTTGGTCACTGCGACCAATCTTCGATTATTTCAATTAATCGGAACACCACTAGTACATAATCGAGTCTGGACCAGACAATCCAGAGATTGACGTCATGAGCATCATTTGGGATTGCTGAAGACCAATTCTAATCCGGATCTTCAGATCGGAGTCGGTATGCTTTGTCACAATAGTTGTGGACTGGTACATCTCATTGCGATTCAAAGAGGTATCATGTTTCCTTGATTTACCTTGAATTACTTGATGCCTTGGTTGATGTATGTCAGTTGCATATAATGATGCTGATGATGTCATACTCTCATTATCAGTATTTTCCTCATATATTGCCTCGTTTATGTAGCAGCAGTGAGATGAGATAATGTGTACAATATGTGTGTCTACAGGCAACAGCTGTGTAGGAGATAGTAACACATTTCTCCCACAGTTTTTGGTTGCAGGGCGCAATACACATGATACAGCATTATATTTCTGTGTTGAATACAGATCCAGCTTTGTGGTTTTGTTGTGTGTGCAGGTGTGCATGAAGACATACATGTGTGCCTCTGCATGTGTGGTGATTACTAAAATTATTTAAAATTTTGACATGTTAAGAAATTTTTAGACAGTTTTGATAAACAGAAATTACCCAGTAAAAACATTTGTTGCAATTTCAAAATTGGATCTCATAAAATACTCTGTACACAAGCATGGTGCTGGCTTTGTAAATTACAGCAATCTTTTCACTCTTGATTGATTTCAGTTTAGTATTTTCATGAATAGAAAATAGATCAATTCAGAAATGTATTGGGAATATGTTGACGTATAAACTGCAGTTGCATGCAGTGTGTGAAATAGCCACTGGCCCGCTAGCCCGTGGCTAGGAAAAATCCAGTCAGGCCAGTATATCTCCACAGTCTCTGGCCCGACTGGCTTGTGAATTTTCATGGAGTCATTTTGTAAATATATCACTCTCTCCGACCTTTTAAGTTAATACACTTTAAAATCCTGCAAGATTATTGCCTGATGGAAATGTTCATCATATTAGCAGCTTAATGATGTAACCCTTGTCTACATTCAAATTTCGGGCCAGTGAATTATGTTATGAATTATGGATAGTAATGTTCAGGCATAGCAATATTTGGAAACTATTTCGCACACTGGTTGCATGTGAAATGTGAATGTATCAACAAATGCATGCATAGAAAGGATGAGATAGATCAGTACTAGAAACAGGTGTGCGGGAATCGATCATGTTGGCTCAATTTAAATCTCACTTGTACATTCATGCATGATATTCCCATGTGATACATCAGCAAATCTTTTGTTTCATTTCGTTTGGTAGAGAGAGTCAACCATTGTCAAAAGCAGCTGTTAGCATGTGTTTATTTTTCATATATATTTTGTATTGATCTTTCTATACACGTCAGCACTGAAGTGATGCATGTAGATGATTTGATACTTTTTTTGTGTGTTTTTTGCCTGACAGTAAGTTGGACTTTCACCATGAATACTGAAACTGCTTCTTTCCAGAGCAGACCTTCAAAACTGTATTATTTCAATCTAACGGTGTACTGGTTCCTATTGCTAACTGAGTATGTATGGTTGTTTGGGTTTTTTGTTTCATGGCGCTCATGTCCTGAGTGAGTTCCAAATTTGCTTTTAGGAAACCTGTAGCTGTATGGTGAATATGGTGAATGTGGTGATGAATATGGTGAATGTGGTGGTGAATATGGGGAATGTGGTGATGAATATGGTGAATGTAGTGATGAATATGGTGAATGTGGTGATGAATATGGTGAATGTAGTGATGAATATGGTGAATGTGGTGATGAATATGGTGAATGTAGTGATGAATATGGTGAATGTGGTGAATGTGGTGATGAATATGGTGAATGTGGTGATGAATATGGGGAATGTGGTGATGAATATGGTGAATGTAGTGATGAATACAACCAGCCAGTTTTCAACAGGTACAAACCTTGGATAAGATTATTCAAAACTGGCTCTGTTCATTACCCCACTTCAGTTGATATCAATGGAGCATTACAAACTGATGTGATACGTATTGTGAAAAATGGACCTCAGTAAAACACGGATAATGCAGTGCACTCTTATCAGTAACACTGTAATACAATAGTGTTTCCTTTTCTTTCAGCAGACATGACGGCCGGCCAGCAGAGACTTCGCTATTTGTATGTCGTGTGGGCATTTGTAGAAACCATGCTGTTTGGAGGTCTCATCTATGGCTGGAGTTCCCTCGTGTTTGTTCTGAAGGCCAAGTTCCTGTACCAGGATCTGTGTAGTGAGAGCAAGATGGCGGAACCGGATAACAAAACAAGCAACATGCTGCGTCTGGACATCACAAGCAGTCCATTGGACAACTCAACACCCATATCTATAAGTAAGACTTCATAATCTTGTACTCCATGCATACTTCATTTCAGGTCTGCAGGATTGAAACCATCTTTACACATTTATTTTTACCAACTCGCATTTATGACACAGGTCAAGGTCACAGAGAATTATGCAACATAATTGTAATATAGTTTCTGACTATGGCACAAAGATTAATAACACTGATTTCACACACATTTCTATTCTAGAGCTGTGACGAATATCGTAGTATCGATAATCGTGATACTTTTTCTGACAATAAATATATCAATACTTTTTTTCGTATCGTGATATGCATAGTTGACCTTAAGATTGTGAATTTTCACTAGAAATTGACGGTTATGTCAAAATTTACACTGTTATCAAAATACGCCTTTTTAAAGAAAATAACTAAAGATAGCATATCGTGATATGCATCGTATCATTCCAAGATATCGCGAAACGTATCGTATCGTATCGTATCGTATCGTGAAGTGAAATTTCTGTATTGTCACACATCTATTCTATTCAAAGGTCAAAGGTCAATGTCACTTAGAAATGTTTCCATTTGGCACTTTCAAATATAATTATACCTATTCAAACATGGGGCTATTCTTTGGAAAGACTTTGGTCATTATGAGTCAAAGATCAAGTTCAGTGATCATATTTTTGTAAGTATTTAACGTCGATTCTGCAAAATAACCAGTCACCATTGTTCACAAGATAGTAGGAAGGCTGCAGAAGGACAACTGCAGTTAAATGACACCCTGTGTTTGCAAAAAAGGTGAACATGACCTCCCCGCCTGGGAACAGCTGTCAGTCACAAAATGTGCATGTCAGACTAAGTGTTCATTGCCTGACGCCACGCAGCAGTACTGTTGCCAAGCAACAGCGGACTCTATACAAACCAGACAAAGAGTATTCATGTTCGCCACGTATAATTGTTCGCTGGACCAGAAATCGAGTTACTCAATAATGCGTCTACACATTTTGTTGAAAAAAAATTAAAATGAAATGTGAATTTTAATACTTCTGCAGAGTTGAAGTGCAGAGCTTTTGCTGAATTTTGTTATGTCATTGTCAGTTTGGGGGCATGAATTATTGTATTTGCCAGTATCTCAATAAATCCTCCCAACTTAAAATGTTGATTTCAGTTAAGTATGAATACCCCACTCAGACAAATTATACTGACTCTGAGCCAACCAGTCCTTCTTGTACTCATTAATGCCGAGCGTCAGGCAGGGACCAACAAGTACCATATTTTAACGTCTTTTGGTATGATGCTGCCGGGGATCGAACCCGTGACCTTCCGCTCTCAAGGCGGACACTCTACCCATGAAAGGTCAGGATGATTTTGAGTTTGCAGTGTAAAACTTTGTTGCATCATTCAGTAAAATCCTGAGACTTTTTTAAACCATGAAGGTCCGGGTTGGAATATTGATATTCAGTAACCCATGCTTGTCCTAAGAGGCGACTAACGGGATCGGGTGGTCAGGCTCGCTGACTTGTTTGACACATGTCATCAGTTCCCAATTGTGCAGATTGACGCTCATGTTGTTGATCACTGGATTGTCTGGTCCAGACTCAATTATTTACAGACCGCCACCATATAGATGGAATATTGCTGAGTGGAGCGTAAAACTAAACTCACTCACTCCTTTCGGAGACTTTCGGATAATGATAATGATTGGACGAAGGTTAAGGTCAGGAAGTTAAGACGTAATGATTTAACGTGGAAGTACATACCATACTAGTATTTTTGGAGGGGGATGAACTGTTCCATATAATGCATTGGGAAAATCAGAAACACTTTATCATTAGCAGTAGATTATGTAAAATAGTTTGAACAGATCTATGTAAATCCTTGATAAATTTGTTATATCAGATTTTGTCGGCAGGCACCTTATTAAAGTCAGTAACTGCTTGTTTATACCAGGAAAGAGAAAACTAAGGAAGTCCGCTACCCGGTAACTGTCCATTTCATCCTCAGATGACAGAAAGTCAAGTGAGCTTATGTCATGGCCTGGTTGTCGTTCAACCGTTGTTAACCTACACATTGTCTGGTCTGTCCGCTGTTCATTTTACATTTCCTAAACTCCTAAACCAATGTTTTGTTATTACAGATCAGTATAGTTGGGAAGTGGTTCTTTGGATGTTTGGGGAATGTGTATTTGTTTTATTTCATTGTTTGTTTTGATTCCATGAGGACATGTTGGACTTATACTGAAAATAGGAGTGGTGCTAATTTCCAGAGCAGAGTGAGTGAGTGAGTGAGCATGGTTTTACGCCGCTTTTAGCAATATTCCAGCAATATCACGTCGGGGGACACCAGAAATGGGCTTCTCACATTGTACCCATGTGGGGAATTGAACCCGGGTCTTCGGCGTGCCGAGCGAACGCTATTACCACTAGGCTACCCCACCGCCCACAGACCATAGGGGACGGTGGCGTAGCCAAGTGGTTAAAGTGTTCAATCGTCATGCCAACAACCCGAGTTCGATTCCCCACGTTGGTACAATGTGTGAAGCCCATTTCTTGTGTCCCCCGTCATGATGTTATTAGAATATTGCTAAATGTGGCATAAAACCCACTTGCTCACTCCACCAGAGCAGATCTGAAAAAAATTGTAGAAAACATTTCTAGATGAAACTTGTACACATCAGGACAGTGGTGAACTTTTGCTTTTTGATGATTTGTGATATTGGAAAATTAGTAACTGGTTTATTTCTTTCTTTACTGAACCGAAGGAGTCCAGTGGCAATGAACCCAAAGCGGGATATAAGTAGCCACACTCCATTGCTGATTCACACCAGATGTGGGGATATATCATGTCTTAATGAATTCTGTTAATTTTCTTATCAGTCTTCAAACATAGCCGCTCTGACAGACTTACTGAAAAACTTTCTTATGGTCATTGCTCAGTCCTTCTGCTGCAAAATATAGTTGAATTTGGTGGGTATACTCTTAGGACCATCATGATCGTTACTCAGTCATTTTCTTTAAAAAATATTTCAAATTTTGAAATATAATATGTAAGTACAAGAAGGTGCTTGTTTGCTTCCAAAAATGTACCTTTCTGTGTGAAGATCTGACGAAACCTCCATAGACAGTCTCATCACTCTGAGCAGAATCCACGACAATATAATGGTGCAGCTAAAAATATTCATTTTTGATACATGGAAATCAGATATACATTTCTGACTGTTTCACGCGATCGCAATGAGACTGTAGAAGCCTTGATGCTGTTTGGTTGGGTGGAAAGTTCACCCGAAGAAGTGCTATCTGGCAGAAAGGTATCACATTGTGTTAAAAGATCTCTTTTAAAGAGGTAACCTAGTGGTTAAAGTGTTCCCTTGTCACCCCAAAGGTCCAGTTTGATTCCCCATATGGGTACAATGTCTGAAGCCCATTCCTGGTGTTCCTCACAGGAACATTGCTGGAATACTGCCGAAAGTGGTTGTAAAACCTGACTCACTCACTCACTCTACATTCTGTAATTTCAGTGCTCCCTCCTGATGAAAAAAACCAAAGCACCATTACCGCTGCTGCACCAGGATGTGAGGCTCAGGACTCCATGTTGAACCTGGTGTTCACTGTGGCCTCCACCTTGTTCTGTGCAGGATGTGCAGCCATGGGGCACATCAACTTCAAGTTTGGCACCAGAGTCACTCGAGTTCTCTCCATGTATGTATGCCTATAGGCACAATGTTTGACAGAGTCACTCGAGTTCTCGCCGTGTATGTATGCCTATAGGCACAATGTTTGACAGAGTCACTCGAGTTCTCTCCATGTATGTATGCCTATAGGCACAATGTTTGACAGAGTCACTCGAGTTCTCTCCATGTATGTATGCCTATAGGCACAATGTTTGACAGAGTCACTCGAGTTCTCTCCATGTATGTATGCCTATAGGCACAATGTTTGACAGAGTCACTCGAGTTCTCTCCATGTATGTATGCCTATAGGCACAATGTTTGACAGAGTCACTCGAGTTCTCTCCATGTATGTATGCCTATAGGCACAATGTTTGACATAAGAACTGGCTGAAAAGAGGGTGGGATGATCACAATGTTTACCTGCCTGGTTATGTGTGCATGGCTTGATAACAGGGGTGGGCGATAATACCTGTTAACCGGTATATTGCAATTCGAACTTCACAATACGATATATTGCGGTACACTTTTCTGCGAACCGGTTCAGCCGTTATGTAATTTTCGCGATGTAGACAAAACAACTAATAACATTTGTATTTCCTTTATATTATTATACATTAATAGTTTTGAGAAAGTTTAGTGGTCATATAATTGCATTTACGTGACTTTTAACCCATATAAATACAAAAATAGATTGTTACCGTCACTCGTAGGGATAAACAAACCAAAATGGTGGACGCTGCTGCAGACGCTTTTTCTCGAGTTCCAAACTTTAGAGCGAAGTCTTCAAATTGGAAACATTTTCAATTGATCTCTTGAACAATTACATCTGAGTCCTGACAGTGGCCAGTGGCATTGTTTCAAAAGAAAGGAAACAGTAATTTCATTACTTTAACCCACTTTCACAATATATTGCAATACATATTGCAATACACCAACAAATATCACAATATATCGCAATACGAAAATTTTGGCGAAACCCAACCCTACTTGATAACCTGCAGTCTTGCTCATTCTATAAACCGTAGGATGGTTGGTGGTTATAGGATAGTCAAGTGTTTAAGGCATTCGCTTGTCACACCGAAGACCAGGGTTCGATTCCCCACATGGGTACAACGTGTGGAGCCCATTTCTTGTGTCTCCTGTCCTGATATGGCTGGAATATTGCTAAAAGCCGTGTAAACCTGTACTAGCTCAACTGTTGGATTGTTTCCTTAAGCTGGGGGGGATACAACTCTCATATTGCATCCTTGGTAATCCCTTGTATTTTGTCTGTAGTATGTCATATATTGACTTATATCACAGTACTAAGTCATGATATGATATCTATCACAATACATGGGTAACATTGCGATACTACATTACATACTTAGTAAAACTCTTTGTATTTCCAGGATTACGTTTGTGGCAGGGACATTGATGATTGCCTTTGTATCTCAAGGTATGTAATGTCCAGATGCTGGAGAGAGAAATATACATGTTACCAGCATCATTTCCTTCCTTTTAAGTGTTCTTTCTTAATTGATTGTTCCATTTTCACTCCTACAAAGACATTTACTTCAATTTGCCTGATCACTTGTGTGTCTCATTCATTGCCATCTGTGCAAGGACTGTTAAAAAGTTTGATTCTGTTTGCATTAATCAATCCATCCTCGATAATCTCCAGGGTATGCATTCCGATAAATCTCCACTATACCCTGGATTCATCTACGGCTCGGCCCGATGATTTTATTACCTCCCATGGTTGGCTTTTTATCCAATCAGGTGTCTACGCTGGGAAGTTGAGCGTACCAGTCACAACTCACTTTTGCTTTTTAAATTATCTAACCTTTTCGAATTGGCAGCACAATGATATTTTGGCAGAGGTACTCTGAAAGAGGTAGAAGGAGTTCTTGTATATATTATTTAAGGTTTCAGACCTGTCCATTTGTCTGTATGTTTTCCCCCCAAACCTGAGTCGCACTGCGAACAAACTTTCGCGGCTGCGACTGCGATCTTTGTTGACACTGGCAAGCTTGGTTGTAACGGCGGCTTATCTGAGAATGCGGAGCCAGCAAAGGGAGGTAATAAAATTATCGGGCCGAGCCGTAGATGCATCCAGGGTATTGTGGAGATATATCTGTTGCTTGATTATTGATAAACTCACTCACTCACTTAAGAAGTTTTGATTCTGTTTACTTTAACCAAATCAACATTGCTTAGTACCTCATTTTTTTTCTATGTGTAGAGTTATATCCCTAGGGTATGCAAGAAACCTGTGATCTCAGTCCCAATTTGTCTTGATAATGATTTTAGGTTTGTTTTGCTAAAGTGGTAAATGTCTGTGACCAGGATCAGGCTTTCCTTTCACATTAAGTGGACACGCTGAGACGCATCTGGAATTCTGTTTAATGAGGTGTTAACCCAAACTCAGTAGTACCACATTTTCTTGCAAAAAATACCCACAAGTACAGACTTATAATAATGTGGGTTTTTAAAACAATGTTTCAGATGTACCCTGGTTAATATTCCCTGGACTTACACTGGTTGGTATTGGCGGTATACCCCTTCTGGTCACCAACACACAGGTACGGTTTTGAAGTATTTCCCTGTACATGTTCTCCACTCTCCACTGTCTCACTTTCTGCTCTCCTGTGAAAATCTGGGTTTTTTTCCTTATCCTGACTCATGCTCTTTTTGCTTGTCTTCTTCTTCTTGCGAACATAGTGGAACACTTGTATCTCCCTAATTGAAGCTCCTTCAATTTAAAATCACTAATTAGTATTCACCACGAGTTACCTCCTTTCCACAAGCGGGGAGCGAGAGCCACCTCTACCCATGTGCCTCACTCTCTCCTTCTTAGCCCAGTGAGCTGGGCGTGAGGCGCCTGTGTCTCCGACACACTATATCCTTTGAATTATATTTAGTTAGTTACCTCGTATAGACATCTATAGAGGTTTAGCTAGTATCCTTCAGCGATTATATATTGATATTTAGTCGTTTTCTACAGTTTATTCACGGGGCCGTGTTTGTTTCAGTGGATTACGTTGATGAAAATTCTGTACTATTGCAGATTCGTTTTTATGCTGCTGCTGATCCGCCTTTAATATGATGTGCGGTAGCCATGTTTATTATATTCACATTGCAGTTCGCGGTACTAATTTATCAATTCTACCTTTTTATTAATATTTACTGCGTTTGGCACGCTTTTAGCAGATAGGTCGCGTATGCAGAGTCTAGTATGACTGATACACGGACCCCTCGCCAGTCTACTGCTGTTGGCCGACTCCCCTCCCGTGTGGTGTTCGCTAGAGTGGTGGAGAGGTGTGGGGCGTAGTCCGCCATCTCCAAAAGCATCCTGCTTCCCCAGACATCCCATCGTCGCGGCAGAAGACTAGAGGGTTTTCTACTACATCTCAACAACGAGACCGTTCCCATCGAAGTTTTGGGCCTGTATGATGATCAGCCGGTCATCATACGGATGTACATCAAAGATTGACCGATGTCGGCACAGATCAGCATGCAGCCTGATGTACCAGCGCCAGATATCGCGATGATCGTCCTGAGGGTCCCATCATTACCAACACTCAGCGCCAGGCGTCGCACACCCAGGGCAGCGTCGACCTCTGAGGAAAATCAGCGAAGTCTACTAGGACTTTCTCAGCGAGATTGTTCCAGCCGATGACCTGGACCTCTCGATGATCAGCTGATCATCATCCCGGCGTCGCATACAAGAAGCGACCGGTGACAGCTACAGCGACATCAGCAGAGATCACCATGCAGCCTGATGCCTCTACACTGATGTCGGACGATTTTCCGGTGGACCCCTCCATTAACACGCCAGATAAAGCACCGGCGACCTGCGTCGCAGACCATCCCAGAAGACATGATCGCGACAAATTATGAACATCATGGAGGACCAATATCTCTGCGGTAGCAGGGTCGAGCAACCAGCGAAGGCTCCAGCGTGAACAACACCCCAGAGGCACCCCGTCAGCGTAGCAGCCAGGGCGATGTCACCTTCGCGAAGGAAGTCCGCGGACCACCTTGGCGAAGGACCTAGATGTACAGCCTTGCGAAGGCCTTCCAGCGAAGGCGGAAAGGACCTAGATGTACAGCCTTGGCGAAGGCGGAAAGAACCTAGATGTACAGCCTTGGCGAAGGACTTCGCGAAGGCAGGATAGATCATCACCTTATCGCGGTTTCATCCCTAGATGTGGACTCGGACCATCAGACATCACGGAAGCCTTCGCGAAGGTCATATCGTCGTTCCCGGACGGGGACGCAGAGGAAGCCAGCGAAGGCATCGCGAAGACACCTGAATCAGATCATCATCATCTAGAAGGACATCGAGGGACTATACAAGAGCTTAGCGAAACTATCAACGTTCCCCTCACAAGTCTCGAGAAGATCAACCCATAGACAAGTTGATCATCGATATCAAGTATAAGAACTACAATGCATTATATTGGTTCTGTTGAATCCATGGCGAGGCGTATGTTAAGCTGGCCTAAATAGATCTAGAGCGATCAATTAGACACTTATCACCAGACTTAGTAACCGACTTCTGAATATGATAAGATGATCCATGCGGCCCTACTTAGGCAAGCGCTTAGCCCGATCCACATCCTGTTAAACACAGAGGCTGTTCCGCGAAGCAAAGCTCATATATATATTTATATATATATATATATATACTAATCGGGCTTTGACTTCGACACCTTCGCGATGGTCGCGAAGGCTAAATAACTCAAGTCTACTTCACCCAGAAGATCTAGAAGGGATGCTTGAGAACTTGCGAAGTCTCAGGCGTTCACCGAGGAAGTCTCCTCAAAGGTTTCCATATACTAGCCACTTTCGTCATATATAGCTACTTTCGTCAGTCCGTTCAAGGCGTCATAAGTTGATTATCAACTGTATGCCAGATGCGATCTATAAGCCTCTGCGAAGAAGATAATTGCTCAGGCTATTTACAACACAGAAGCGTCGCTGTATTATTAGTCAGCGACATTTCATAGATCTTCACGAAATCAACTATTCCGTATAAATTGCTAATATACAATCCCGGACGGCGATCACGATTATCTACATGCGTGACCATTACATATCTGCAGAACAATTCAATATCGAAATTGAACAGCAGCCTTGTTACAGCGAGTATAACTCTTAATCGTCAAAGTTTCTGAGAAGAAATATGTACAACAAGTTCAACGTTAATTCTACAATTATGGCGATACATTCATGTATACAGTCTACAAGCTCACAACTTGCAAGTTGTTTATACCCTTATATATAAGGAAGTCGAATTATATTCAAAACTGAAATTACTTTCCGACAACCAGGAAAATAACCTACCCAGCATAAAATTACAGAAGCGAGATATTTGGCGGAGGAGGTTTCAGCGGTTACCATTAACCCTCGAAACCGTGGTCACTTTCGGATAACCGGGAAGCTACGGTGAAGACCGGCGTTTATGCTAATATCAGCGGCGACAAGAATTTATTCAAGGTGGGTTTTCCCGCTACACGGTGACATCACAGGCGGGTATTATACAGAATCAAAATGCCTTGTTCTGATTGGACCGCGAGGGACAACGACCTACACAGAGGTCGATCTCTATTCACAGTTCAAGACTTACGTCACAAGTGACAACTATATATCAGTGAGCGAGCAAGCCTCATTACAGTCCAGTTAACCTGAACATTCATGATTAGACTGCCTTTCTTCAAGTTAGAGACCTCCCCTGTCAAGTTAAGGCGAGGGATGCGGCAGTCAGGCGATTTTACATAAAGTTCAGCGAGGACAGACACACCTGGTTGTGCACCTACATCGTCAAGGACTTAGCGAATTACCTAGGCGAAAGATACAAGTGGATCTAAATCCACAGCGTTTCAGACTACAGCTGAATTTCATCAAGCGACTAACACAACTAGATGGTTAGTAAACCTACTAAACTTCTGTTTGGAGAATAAAGCGGAAATTTCACGCCCAAACCTGGGGATATGAATATAGTGCTCCAACACCTCACAAGTGAGGTTTATGAACACGCCTGGATGACATACTTGGACCCCATGATACGATGATTCTATCAAGATGGCCAGCAAGAGCACTGTAAATTTATCTCCACCAAACCAAACAGGAGGAAAAATGCAACAGATTATTTCCTCTATCATCATCAACTTCAGAGTGAAGTCTCATGTACTATATCTCCATTTGGATCAGAACTGTCATACTCGTGCATATCTTGCGGATGGACCTATTCCGACCCTCCATGAGCTTAATACTCATGATATTATAAGCTAACTTCTACAATTGTTCTACACAAATGTGATTGAAATAATGGAGGTTTATTTCTGGAAATCCGATATGGTGGTTGCAAACCATTATCTGAGAGATATCACCACGAGGGCGTCTCAGGTATACACCAATTCGATCCCATGGTCCTCGCACAACAGCTGACAGTTCCTCGGAGAAGATAAGTCAATCTAACAGATTTTTACTTATCTTATAACAATACTAAATAGCTTCATGCTATATATAATTTACTTAAGTTCCTTTTATCATCACAGTACTATGATTATTACATCATACAATATATAAGTTAACAACTCTACAGAGTTTGTTATTATATATATTTACCTTAAGTTATTCATATCTTAAGAGTAATACTATGGTTACATGATAAATGCATTAGCTAACAAACTCTACAGAGTTTTTGGCTATTTTATACATAGCTTAAGTTAATTAAGCTAACAAACTCTGAGTTTTTACTATTATATAGGTAACTTAAGCTAATTATACCTTAAGCATAGTACTATACTCATATTATTAAAATATATTGGCTAACAAACTCTAAGGAGTTTTGCTATTATATAGGTAGCTTAAGCTTATTCATATCTTAAGCTTAGTACTATGTTTATATCATATAAGTAGATTAGCTAACAAACTCTAAAGAGTTTTTGCTATTTGGCTTAAGTATCATCATATTTCTAAGCAATATGGTTATATTATAACATGTATTAGCTAACAAACTCTACAGAGTTTTAGCTATTATATATGTAACTTAAGCTTATTCATATCTTAAAGCAGTACTATGTTTATATCATATAGGTATATTAGCTATCAAAACTCTAAAAGAGGGTTTTGCTATTATATATTTAAACTTAAGTTTCATCATATTTTAAGCTTTATGGTTACATTATAACATGTATTAGCTAACAAACTCTGGAGTTCTTGCTATTATATATGTAGCTTAAGTTTTCCTTCATAAGCTCAATACTAGGTTTATATCATAGCTAACAAACTCTAAAGGGTTGTTTTAAGCTATTATACAATTAGCTTAAGTTTTCATCATATCTTAAGCAGTATGTTTACATTATAAAGGTATTAGCTAACAAAACTTCGGCGGAGTTTTGTTATTATATATATATAGCTTAAGTTTCATCATAACTTAAGCTCAGTACTATGTTTTTTAACATAAAAGTATATTAGTTAATAAACTCTAAGGAGTTTATTTTGCTATATACATTTAGCTTAAGTCTAATCTTATCTTAAGCTTAGTACTATGGTTACACTATAAACATATTAGCTAATAAACTCTACAGAGTTTTTGGCTATTATATATGTAGCTTAAGTTAATAATATCTTAAGCACAATACTATACTCATATTGTAAAATATATTAGCTAACAAACTCTCACGGAGTTTTGCTATTATATATGTAGCTTAAGTTAATTATATCTTAAGCACACTACTATACTCATATTGTAAAATATATTAGCTAACAAAACCCTACAGAGTTTTGCTATATATATGTAGCTTAAGTTAATTATATCTTAAGCTCAGTACTATACTAATATTATAAATATATATTAGCTAACAAACTCTACAGAGTTTGGCTATTATATATGTAGCTTAAGTTAATTATAGCTTAAGCACAGTACTATACTCATATTATAAAAATATATTAGCTAACAAACTCTACAGAGTTTGGCTATTATATATGTAGCTTAAGTTAATTATGGCTTAAGCACAGTACTATACTCATATTATAAAAATATATTAGCTAACAAACTCTACAGAGTTTTTGCTATTATATATATGTAGCTAAAGCTTATTCATATCTTAAGCTCAGCATTATATCTATATCATATAAGTATATTAACTAACAAACTCTAAAGAGTTTGCTATTATATAATTAGCTTAAGTTTAATCATATCTTAAGCTTAGTACTATGTTATATCTTAAAGTATTTTAGCTAACAAACTCTAAGGAGTTTATACTAGCATATTAACAAGCTTAAGTCTATTAGTCTTAAGCATTGTATTAATGTTATATATACTTTATCATAATAAGTACATGGTAATAACCTTTTATATGGCAGCTGATAAGTTAGCAGCAGGAATTCATCAGTTCAGTGCCTTTATGAAGTTCCCATAGGGTTATTACAATCATCACAGTTCAAATCACTAATTATTAAAAATCCAAAGTATTAGATATTCCCACCTCCGTTCCGTAGGATGCTACAAGCAAAAAGAGCATGAGTCAGGATAAGGAAAAATATGTAATTTTTGGAGTAAAATTGATATTTTATACTTATCCTGACTCATGAGGTCAGCCCTCCCATCCTCCCAAATAACACTTTGGATTTCCCTGTAAATTCAAATGTTGGGCTCAGTATATGAGGAGAGAGTGAGGCACATGGGTAGAGGTGAAGCCCTCGTTCAGCTTGTGGAAAGGAGGTAACTTCGTGGTGAATACTAATTAGTGATTTTAAATTGAAGGGAGCTTCAATTAGGGAGATACAAGTGTTCCACTATGTTAGCAAGAAGAAGACAAGACAAAAGAGCATGAGTCAGGATAAGTATAAAATATCAATTTTACTCCAAAATTACATAAAATAATTGTTATGCACTACCAATTACGATTTAAAATGTTAGATACACAAAAAGTTTAAAACAAATGCGTACAGAATATGTTTATAAAAATCGCTTTCGTAATGAAAAAGACATCGATTGCTATCAAGTTGTACTGTTAGTATAGGACTAGTGTTGTACTGTCAGTATAGGATCGGTGATTTTTTATGAAATCATTTCCATTATATTTAAGTTGGTTTTGATTAGGTATGACATAAGGCAGAACATACCTGCTTAGTAAACTTACTCGATGACATAATACTTAGGTGAGTAAAATGACTGAAATACGCACATACATTGTATTTGAAAGCAGTGGGTAACGGAAAATGAAATACCCACTCAACATTCACAATACCCACTCCAAAAACTTACAGTGGGTACAGTACCCACATGAGCTAAATCTTATCTGGAGCTCTGAATGTCACACGACTAAAATGGATTGGTTACTGAGCAGGAGTGGGTGATGGATTATGGATGATTCGAGTAAGTTACAAAAGATTTTCTATTTAGACTAATAATAGCAAAATACAGTCATCCCTTGCAATAACGCTCTTCGCGATACCGCGGATTCGGTTAAACTACGGGGTAATCCGTGGCTCCCATAAAAAAAAGTTGCCCTGTGATCACACATATTCATATTCACGTGATCGAAAATAGCACATCAACAAATCCGCTGTTGAGTTCTGGTTAATCACGTAGTAAACTAGTGAAATTCAGTGCGGATTGCAATTAACAGTGTTTATTGTATATATCCATGTTTTTTCAGATGCTTAAAACATGCAGGGTCTTTTTCAATAATAATTGATGAACAGCGAAACATCGTAATAACTTTATCATAAAGACATGTCGATTATCAGCCGAGTACTTACAACGTTTGCTATGATGCAACACACCGCGTAATTGCGCGGGTATACACCGCCATCCGAGAATGTATGATGTTAGAAAACACATTTTATTTGATTAAATTCCATCCCATTTTCATTCATTAAAACTGTTTACAATAACAATGGAGAAACTGTGAGTGAAATGGCATTACCTCATTCCATACAACACCCGCTTACCACATTCGTGAGGGTCCGTTTTTCGCGCCTACCACGATAGCACCAATTTCACATTTTTCTCAGCAATCACGAACAGATTACAGCCTTGTCATCCATTGACCCCAAGACCCGCGTTATTGACTTGTTGAAGTCATATTTGACAATTAATTGCCAACATTTTGTTTTTACAATCAAAGTGGCACGTATCGCGGGAAGTCAACGGTGACTTGTCAAACTGTCTCCTACGTAAAAATGTCCAGCCAGGTAACCCAAAGTGCTTAGCAATGCTTATTATTATGTTAAATATGTTCGTAGAAAACATGCATTATACTTATACGATAGCAATATATAAGATCTCTGTTAGAATAACTGCTTGACATATCAATTATTCTGATAACGGAATAGAAATTCTTGGATGTTATATTTTCGGATTGTTTTTAAATGAATCACCGGTACATTGGACCAAAACATCGATGTGTGCCCAGCTGATTGCTATTTCCGGCTTAGTTGAATAACAGGTAGCATGACAGGAACAACAATTGAATTATCATGTCTTGTGGTGTTTGATTGCAAGTTTCATGTACATACATCTATTTTTTATTTGTTTGTTTGTTTATATTGTTGTTGTTTTCACCTCAAACAATACGATATATAGTTTTGACTGGGCACAATACACGAAATAGCAGTTTTGTTATGTCCATGGAAAATACGATTTTACTTGGCCTTTGTTCCGCGTTATGTAATCGTTACTTATAACACGGGTGTCTAATAACGCGGGGGGTCATCCATGGACCCCAAGACCCGCGCTACGGCGAGGGATGGCTGTATACAAGAAATGATGAGTTGTTTGCTCCCAGTTGAGATTTCAGATGAGTCAGTCTGTTGATGGAATGGCTTCAAATGTCTGCATTAAAATAAGGTCTCAGAGACAAGATGCTTCATAAACAAAGCAATAGATCAGTTACAGGGAACTTTAGGAATATCATGGACAATAAACTCATGGGGCCCCTGACGCATGAGATGTCGCGTGTGTGGGATCATAGGCAGTTGGGTTATCAAGGACAATAAACTTGCAAGAGTTATTTCCCCTGTAAGACACACGTGACACTTGTGTGTGAACACCAACAGTTGCCAATGCAATAAACATCAGAGGTTTGTTTTGTTCCAGTTCAATAGCCAGTGAAGTAAATTCATTATATTCAGTGAGAATATTTTATCTTGATCCTTGATCTTTGTGAGTGAGTATGGTTTTACCCTGCTTTTAGCAATATTCCAGCAATATCACGGCGGGGGACACCAGAAAGGGGCTTGACACATTGTACCCATGTGGGAATCGAACCCGGGTCTTCGGCGTGACGATCAAACGCTTTAACCACTAGGCTACCCCACCGCCCCCTGATTTTTGTGAGTCTGTGGGTAATGTTACTGTATTTATGCCCTTTCAGATTGCTAATCTGTTCTCAAGAGGCAGTTCCACCATTATTGGTTTGCTGTGTGGGGCATTCGACATATCGGCAGCAGTACAACTGGTCATCAAGGTAAGACACCTGTTGGTAATGATATGCTAGTACAGTATTTTATTACCCACGTGGTCAACGTATGGGAGTTGCATACTAATCTCGTACGTCACACGTGTGTCGTATCGCGTTGACCTGTGTCGTAACGACTTGACCTGAGGTTCTAACGATTTGATTGGATAACCGATGACCTCTCAGTTAGGTCACGTTGTGACGGAACTACTTTTTCATTCATAACAAACACGTGAATTCATTCATTCTACAACTTAGATGCATTGTGGGAATATAAACATTGCTTAACGTTGCCGTGTCGCTGTTTAATTGTGAGTCGAACTTAGACATTATATCCGTCGAAAAACATAAACGCAATGTTTCCACCAGTGATGTTAGCCGAATGAAGCAACTGCAAACCAAGAAACGGAAGCTACGGAGTAGTTTACTGTAGGAGGCTGTAATGAGGCGATGACAACTGACATGCATCCTGACGTCGGTTACCAAGGCAGTGACGCCATTACAGCGTGATCGTCATGCAAATATTGTACTACAGTACAAACTCTTCCGCAACCTCTTTATGAAACCGGTTTCAGTTTGAAACAAACAAATAACAAAAATACGCTTATTTGGTCAATTAAATGCATGTAAGACGTGGGTAATAAATAAAATACCACACTCTTCGGTCTCATTACATACGAATTATATGACGAACTGCGGATCTTCCTATAATCTGACCTCGCTTTCGCCGGTCAGATAACATAGGAAGGACACTCGTTTCGTATAATTCGTATGTAATGAGACCGAGTGTAGTATTCTCTATGTATCACGATACGAGGCTCATCATACCATGCCCTGATTTACAACTCCCGTATCACTGTATATACCACTCATAATGTTACAAGTTATTTTGAAGCGTAATTGCTTCCTCTGTCATGTAACAGATCCTCTGTTGTATATTGTTACAGATTGCCTTTGAGAAGGGCTTCTCCCTACGAAACTCGTACCTGGTTGTGACAGGTCTTCACAGCATGGTGATAGTCAGCACCTTCTTCTTCCTGCCCAAAGGATTCATCAGCAAGCCCGAGGATGAACCCCCACAAGAGCAGGTGACCTATAAGGTGGAGGACGGGGATGCGCCTTCAGTGGTGTTGCTGGATAAGGCGGAGGAAGCAGGCGTTGTGATAGTTGACGGGAAGAAACAGCCAGTGAAAGGTATGATTTCTGCCTCAGTTTTTAAAACCATTTTTGTCTTAAGTAGAGAGTTCCAGGAGAGGAAACAGTAAATGTGCAACATCCATTTAAGACAAAATGCTAAGAATTCCTTATGCAATAATAAATAATACTAATAGTGTGGTGGTGGTGTGCTGCTGCTGCTGCTGATGATGATGAATGTCTGTTTATAGACAAGTTAACCCATTGTGCTTGAAGCACTTGATTTTTTATTCTTGTTTCACTGAGGAGTATACAACTCAAGAGATCTTAATGTATACAGTCGTGCCCCCCTTTATCCGAACCTCAGATATCCGGAAAACTCGCCTTCTGAACGAAAAAAAAAATCCTCAAAACGAATTCACAAAGTTGTAAAATTACTCACTTATCCGGAAATCCAGTTTCCGTAACCGGACGGTAATTTTCACATACAAAACGCTAAATTTATGCTTTTTTTCTTGTATATCCGGATGGCTGAGCACTTGTCAGTATGTTTACACACGCATTTTACAGAGTGGCCTTGCATGCCCTAACAAAAAAAGTCGGCGGTCTTTGAAGCGTGAGAGGATTAACTACCTGTAATTAGCAAGGTGACGCTGAGTTAATTTTGAGTTGTGATTGGCAAGGCTAAATGTTCCCGTTGTTTTGGTGGTGACTTTAATACGGAAGCAACAATGCGAACGAGAGGATGACATCAGAACTCTTTCGTGATTGGTTGCTAGCATTTGACAGACAGATGCAAAGTACAGGCATGTTCGCACGTGTTATTGACTTGACTACTTTATTTGACAAGATGTGATTTTATGTATACATTATTATTTGTTGATGTCTTATCAATAAAGGTTACGTCTGAGGTCTATTATGTTCGTTTCTTTGTATGTCTTTTTACATATGGTCTGTGGTTCAGATATCCGGAAATTTGTTTATCCAGACAATTTCAAGAAAAACACAAGTGTCCGGATAAACGGGGCACGACTGTATTGTGCTTAGGCACTCATGTATTAGGACTGCTGAGATTATAGATATCCATTTTGGACCCGTACTTTCACAAATGATAATACCATGAAATGCAACATGATCTCAGGGACGTCTCTGTTAATCAGTTGATGTCTTATCACTTTATTGCCTGTGTACTTCCAGAGGAGAGCAAGACCCCGCTGACACCACCGTCGTCCCCGTCGAAGCTGCCGTCACTGTTCAGCTGCATCCTGTCCTCATCATTCCTCCCCCACGTCCTCTGGCTCAGCATACTGCAGCTGCGCTTCTACTACTTCCTGTCCTCTCTCAACCCCATCCTCAACGATGTCCTCGACGGGGACCAGGCCCAAGGTAAGACATACCTGTGATTTCTCAGCCACATCATCAATGATGTCTTCTTTCAGTCCTATCCTTATCAATGTCCTCTATCTGGAAGCTGCCCCTGTTAAAGCAGTTGCCTTCTTTCAATCCCTTCCTGATCAACATCCTCTCTCTCCTTAGCAATGTCTGCCATCCTTAGCAATGTCTTTGATCTGGAAGATGCCCATGGTAGGGCATTCGTCCTCTTTCAGTCCTATCCTTAGCAATGTTCTTGATCTGGAAGATGCCCATGGGAGGGCATTCGTCCTCTTTCAGTCCTATCCTTATCAATGTTCTTGATCTGGAAGATGCCCATGGTAAGGCATTCGTCCTCTTTCAGTCCTATCTTTATCAATGTCCTCTATCTGGAAGATGCCCATGGTAAGGCATTCGTCCTCTTTCAGTCCTATCCTTATCAATGTCCTCTATCTGGAAGATGCCCATTGTAAGGCATTTGTCCTCTTTCAGTCCTATCCTTATCAATGTCCTTGATCTGCCCATAGAAGATGCCCATAGTAAGGCATTCGCCCATGGTAAGGCTCCTTTCAGTCCTATCCTTATCAATGTCCTTGATCTGGAAGATGCCCATGGTAAGGCATTTGTCCTCTTTCAGTCCTATCCTTATCAATGTCCTTGATCTGGAAGATGCCCATGGTAAGGCATTCGTCCTCTTTCAGTCCTATCCTTATCAATGTCCTTGATCTGGAAGATGCCCATGGTAAGGCATTTGTCCTCTCCTTCCTTAGTCCTATCCCCATGGTAAGGCATTTGTCCCTGTCCTATCCTTATCAATGTCCTCTATCTGGAAGATGCCCATGGTAAGGCATTTGTCCCTCTTTCAGTCCTATCCTTAGCAATGTCCTTGATCCTCTTTGTCCTCTTCAGTCCTATCCTTAGCAATGTCCTTGATCTGGAAGATGCCCATGGTAAGGCATTTGTCCTCTTTCAGTCCTATCCTTATCAATGTCCTTGATCTGGAAGATGCCCATGGTAAGGCATTTGTCCTCTTTCAGTCCTATCCTTATCAATGTCCTTGATCTGGAAGATGCCCATGGTAAGGCATTTGTCCTCTTTCAGTCCTATCCTTATCAATGTCCTTGATCTGGAAGATGCCCATGGTAAGGAAGCATTAAGGCATTTGTCCTCTTTCAGTCCTATCCTTATCAATGTCCTTGATCTGGAAGATGCCCATGGTAAGGCATTCGTCCTCTTTCAGTCCTATCCTTATCAATGTCCTCTGGAAGATGCCCATAGTAAGGCATTTGTCCTCAGTCCTATCCTTATCAATGTCCTTGATCTGGAAGATGCCCATGGTAAGGCATTTGTCCTCTTTCAGTCCTATCCTTATCAATGTCCTTGATCTGGAAGATGCTGGTAAGATTTGCCTCTTTCAGTCCTATCCTTATCAATGTCCTTGATCTGGAAGATGCCCATGGTAAGGCATTTGTCCTCTTTCAGTCCTATCCTTATCAATGTCCTTGATCTGGAAGATGCCCATGGTAAGGCATTCGTCCTCTTTCAGTCCTATCCTTATCAATGTCCTTGATCTGGAAGATGCCCATGGTAAGGCATTTGTCCTCTTTCAGTCCTATCCTTATCAATGTCCTTGATCTGGAAGATGCCCATGGTAAGGCATTCGTCCTCTTTCAGTCCTATCCTTATCAATGTCCTTGATCTGGAAGATGCCCATGGTAAGGCATTCGTCCTCTTTCAGTCCTATCTTTATCAATGTCCTTGATCTGGAAGATGCCCATTAAGGCATTGTCCTCTTTCAGTCCTATCCTTATCAATGTCCTTGATCTGGAAGATGCCCATAGTAAGGCATTTGTCCTCTTTCAGTCCTATCCTTATCAATGTCCTTGATCTGGAAGATGCCCATGGTAAGGCATTTGTCCTCTTTCAGTCCTATCTTTATCAGTCCTATCCTTATCAATGTCCTTGATCTGGAAGATGCCCATAGTAAGGCATTTGTCCTCTTTCAGTCCTTTCCTTATCAATGTCCTTGATCTGGAAGATGCTTATAGTAAGACATTTGCCTTCACCTCCATCTTTATCAATGTCACAATCAATAGGAGTCCTTAGAAATGAAAGAAATTGTAAATCCATAGGGTTTGTTCAATGTTGTACGTTCAAACTTCTAAAATGCCACTCAAAGAAGGCCTAAGGTTAGTTACCAGTTTTCTGTAACATGGCTCAAGTTAAGACATTCTTCTTGTTTGTTCATATCCTCAACATTGTCCAAAGCTCCTAGCCAGTGCTCTCTCCACCCACATTCCATCAATGGGTACATGGCCCAAGGCTGCTTGCTCTGTGATTGGTACTGTGCCTGTCCACCCAGTAATCTTCCAACATGTCAGTGTCAACATGAAGTGGTCCAACTGTATGCTCTGACTGAGTATGCTTTATGTCTACACATTTTCTTTCAGTGAGTTTCTACACAAACATGTCGATGTACATGATGCTGGCCGGAATCGTCACGTCTCCGTTTACGGATTTGTCTACGACTGGCAGAAAGGAATCTTTAACAGTGAGTCACTGTGAGGCACACATACCCATTGTACACTGACACCTAGGGGTGGGAGGCGCTGGAGGCTTATTGGTTCAAGTTCTCACCTGGGTTTGTTATAAGATACAACTAAATGAATCTCATGGTCAGAACCTTGTGGTGACTTCATTAAGTGTTATAATGCCCTGATGTTGCTAACTAACTACTCGTTAGTGTGTATTAATTACAGGCTCCTTTGTCATAGGGGGGTGGTGGGGTAGCCTAGGGGTTAAAGCGTTCACTCGTCACGCCGAAGGCCCGGGTTTGATTCCCCACATAGGCACAATGTGTGAAGCCCATTTCTGGTGTCTCCCGCAATGATAATGTTGGAATATTGCTAAAAAGCGGCATAAAACTCACTCACTCACTTTGTCATAGGTGAAATGTTGCCACCTTTGCTGGTTGTAAGAGGTATTCAACAACCTTTGCTGGTTGTAAGAGGTCTCGAACTACCTATGCCAGTATGAGACAACTAAGAGAATCTGGTAGTCAGGGTCAGGGTCAGTGTGACATTGTACCCCGATATTGATGGTTGTTCACAATATCAATCACTTGATTGTCTGGTCCATACTGTATTACTTTCCAGCATATAGCTGGACTGTTACTGAGGGCAGCATTTAGCTTGTCACACAAAAAAATCATTACATACAATAAGTATAATCAGCATCATATTTTTGTACCTGTTTCCATGTCTTTACAACGTTGTAGTTGACAATGATGGCAGCATCCTTCATACTATAAGCATTTCAGTAACTAATGAAGTACACATTTGTCCATCTATCTAATTTAGTACACTATACTGTGTAGAATTTATATTTGGTATGTCCTGCTTAAATGAAAATGAAAATATTAAAATAAGAGTCAAACATTATTCCTCCAGACAGCCGATCCAAGCTACGTCGTGACCTGATGCCATCTGTGATGCCGCTGATGACGGGGACGGTGTTGGGGTTGTTGGTGACGGTGTTCTGCATGATACCAGCCAAGGAAGTGCTGTACCTCACCTTCATCTCCGTCGTCCTCTGCCGCTCCTTCCTCTACTGCATGGGAGCCTCCTTCATTGGAGCAGTGTAAGTCTTTCCTCTACTGCATGGGAGCCTCCTTCATTGGAGCAGTGTAAGTCTTTCCTCTACTGCATGGGAGCCTCCTTCATGGGAGCCATGTAAGTCTTGACACTGATAGGATGGAGCCTCCTTCATGGGAGCCATGTAAGTCTTGACACTGATAGGCTGGAGCCTCCTTCATGGGTGCCATGTAAATCTTGACACTGATAGGATGGAGCCTCCTTCATGGGAGCCATGTAAGTCTTGACACTGATAGGATGGAGCCTTCTTCATGGGAGCCATGTAAGTCTTGACACTGATAGGATGGAGCCTCCTTCATGGGAGCCATGTAAGTCTTGACACTGATAGGATGGAGCCTTCTTCATGGGAGCCATGTAAGTCTTGACACTGATAGGATGGAGCCTCCTTCATGGGAGCCATATAAATCTTGACACTGATAGGATGGAGCCTCCTTCATGGGAGCCATGTAAATCTTGACACTGATAGGATGGAGCCTCCTTCATGGGAGCCATGTAAGTCTTGACACTGATCGGATGGAGCCTCCTTCATGGGAGCCATGTAAATCTTGACACTGATAGGATGGAGCCTCCTTCATGTAAGTCTTGACACTGATAGGATGGAGCCTCCTTCATGGGAGCCATGTAAATCTTGACACTGATAGGATGGAGCCTCCTTCATGGGAGCCATGTAAATCTTGACACTGATAGGATGGAGCCTCCTTCATGGGAGCCATGTAAATCTTGACACTGATAGGATGGAGCCTCCTTCATGGGAGCCATGTAAATCTTGACACTGATAGGATGGAGCCTCCTTCATGGGAGCCATGTAAATCTTGACACTGATAGGATGGAGCCTCCTTCATGGGAGCCATGTAAATCTTGACACTGATAGGATGGAGCCTCCTTCATGGGAGCCATGTAAGTCTTGACACTGATAGGATGGAGCCTCCTTCATGGGAGCCATGTAAATCTTGACACTGATAGGATGGAGCCTCCTTCATGGGAGCCATGTAAATCTTGACACTGATAGGATGGAGCCTCCTTCATGGGAGCCATGTAAATCTTGACACTGATAGGATGGAGCCTCCTTCATGGGAGCCATGTAAGTCTTGACACTGATAGGATGGAGCCTCCTTCATGGGAGCCATGTAAATCTTGACACTTGGGAGCCATGTAAATCTTGACACTGATAGGATGATAGGATGTAGACCTCCTCCTTCATGGGAGCCATGTAAATCTTGACACTGATAGGATGGATCCTTCATGGAGCCTCCTTCATGGGGAGCCATGGGAGCCATGTAAATCTTGACACTGATAGGATGGAGCCTCCTTCATGGGAGCCATGTAAATCTTGACACTGATAGGCTGGAGCCTAATTCATGGGAAGCGTGTAAGTCTTCTTGGGATGGATCTGCCTTCGAGGTAGTGAAAATCTGAGTAGTTAAGATATCAAATTTACCCAGTGGTGTCTGCCAAAATGGTAAAGATAGATTTGAGGCAGATGGTTATCTATCCCCTTAAGACACAATTAACTTGTCATGCATATGCCCACTTGACCGCTTCCTGGACTGGATCAGGTATTCTGTGGGTGGAGCACTTTACACTGAAGGCAACACTGAACTTACCAATGAGTCTAAGATGATTTACAGAGTTACATCCCTTAGCCAGATCAACAATAAGCTACATTCTCGATAGACATGTTTCAGATTTTCTTTTGATGAATATTTGTAGTTTTTCGACCGCCTCCGTGGTGTAGTTGTTAGATCTTTCGCCCGGAGAGAGGAAGATCGCAGGTTTTTAACTCCTGCCATACCAAAAGACCTTAAAATAAGGTATTTGTTGGTCATTAATGGGTACCACAAGGACTGGTCGGCTCAGAGTCAGTATAATGTGTCTGTGGAGTATTCATGCTTAACTGCGGTATTGTGTCTCAGTGAGCTAGCACTATAAAACCAGGTTAAGTCTGGGCTTAGTACAAGCAGCCACACATACACACGCATGCACGTCGTCATGTGAGCGAAATATTCTTAAGTACGGTCTACTCCCATTTGTGAGAACTCCCAGTTGTGAGACAGTGGAGTAGGTAATTAGCAAAGAAAACACACCTTACTCCCCTATCTGATAGAATGGATTAACCCCAGCTAATTATGGATTAGCTATTTAACTGAATCTTGTTGAGGTAACTTAATAAAACTCTAAAAGATAAAGTAATTAACCTACTCAGATAAATGGCTTTAAAAATAAACACTTTGTGTAGGTAGCTACGTGATCATTTGAAAGAGAAATTAATTTACTTACTCAGATGAAAAATCTAGCAATAACTGTTGTAACAATAATTAATCCAAATGTATTTATTAACCTTTGACTGCTCTTTCCGATCACCATTATGGCAGGCCTTCAACAAGTAGAATATATCACCAGTTCACGATAATCTTTTTCAGTATCTATTGAAAACAATAAATGCTCTTCAACGAACAATGTCTTCTGTGTTGATTAACTCATTAATGAACTATGCCTCCTGCGGGTACTCTTCATCAACAGGGCTGTTCCCACTTTCATCGTAGGGATGGGGAAGCACCACCTATGTGCACTGAACCATTAATTAATGTGTCTCACAACTGGGAGTTCTCACAAATGGGAGGACACCAGTACGATGTTAAACCCCATTTCACCTCACCTTGTTATTTTTCAGATTCCCCAGTGAATATTTTGGATTACTGTATGGTCTAATGATCATAGCAGGTGGGATATTTTCCTTCATTCAGTTTGGCTTGTTCAAGTGGGCAGAGCAAGCTGGATATTTTCAGGTAGGAAAAAAAAAGTTACTATGAATTTGGACACCCTTAACCTTTGGCTATCCTGCTACATTAAGCTGTCATGCCATGCTACTGGACTATTACTACATGTCATGACATGTTGAGGCATTGTCATGTCACTCAGTGAAAACTGGTGCTAGGATATAGTTAAACCAACAGTTTCGGTTTCCATGTGCTGGCTCTATCAGATCAAACATCAGTGTTGGGTAGACAAATATGTGTTCTGTATAACCCCAATAACCAAGATAGCACCGTGCCAGTGACAATGTCGGGAACATGGGCCATTCCTTGAAGCACACCGAGGCACCATGACTCAAAGGTCTATGACTCAAAGGTCTATGTATGGAGTTATGATTGTGTTAGCACTATGATCATTTCGTGTATGGAGGCCCAGGTTTGTAACCCAATCCATTTTTCATGCAGTATCTTGTATTAACGTAAACAATTTATTTGTTTTCAGGTCAATATCTTCTTCCTGGTCCTGGTGTCTCTCTCTTTCATCCATCCTGTGGTTCAGTGGATCCGCTCATGTCGTGCAGAGTCCGTCGTAATTACCCAGGAGGAGTAGCTCTAAAAACATTTATCATCCAAAACTGTGTTCCACAGGAGATATTGCTTGTGTGAGATCAGACGATATCTCCTAGGAGATATCGTTTTCACAGTAGATTTTGCACAATGCCCTGACAATGTTATGACGTCATGAACTTGATGACGTCACAATGCTATGACATCGTTGCACTGCAAATCTAATGGCAGTTCTGTGTTCAGAGATGTACATTTTTCATTGAAAACTAATGAAGAGTGATTTTTGATGATAAATGGAATCTCACCCTCAACACTCGTTGATAAAAGTAAAAATATCCTCGGCAAGCCTCGGATATTTGTTACTTTATCAACTCGTGTTGATATATTTGATATCAAAAGACTCGGGTGAGATTCTCTTTATATCACATGACATATTTCATGACACATCACATGACGTATCACATGACATGTCACATGATGCATTTTATGACATATCACATGATGTATTTTATGATACATCACATGACGTATCACATGATGTATTTTATGACACATCACATGACATGTCACATGATGTTACTCATGTCTCATGACATTATGATGTAACAATACTACAGTATGTAAAGATTGTATGTATGGTATGTGATGCATGAATATTTACACTTATTGTATTACTTTCATACATGTCCTTACATGTACGTGACCAGTGTGTGCTCTACTGAATAACCTGATGCTCAGATACTTGAGAACAGCCCTACATCACATGACGTATCAAATGACACAGATATTTATTTTTGTCAGAATTTGTTGATTTGTAATATGTCAAATCTTGTGTATCAAGAAATTAGTGCGTCACCAAATTAACTGAATAACCTGATGCTCAGATACTTGAGAACAGGACCGCCTCCGTGGTGTAGTGGTTAGAGTGTCCGCCCGGAGAGCGGAAGGTCGCTGGTTCGATCCCCGACCGCGTCATACCAAAAGATGTTAAAATATGGTACTTGTTGGTCCCTGCCTGGCGCTCGGCATTAATGTGTACAACAAGGACTGGTTGGCTCGGAGTCAGTATAATGTGTCTGAGTGGGGTATTCATGCTTCACTGCGGCATGGTATCTCAGTGGGCTAGCACTATAAAACCAGCTTCAGTCTGGGCTAGTACAAGCAGCCGCACATACACATACACACGCATGCACGTCGTCATATGAGCGAAATATTCTCCAGCACGACGTAAACCCAATTTCACCTCACCTCACCTTGAGAACAGCCCTACATCACATGACATATCAAATGACACAGGTATTTAGTTTTGTCAGAATTAGTAATATGTCAAATCTTGTGTATCAAGAAATTAGTGCGTCACAAAGTTAACTGAATAACCTGAATCTCAGATACTTGAAAACAGACCTACATCACATGATGTATCACATGATATATCACATGATATATCACATGACATCAAATTTGTGAGCTGTAATATATCAAATACTGTATATCATAAAATTCATGCACCACCAAATTAACCCCAGTCCAGAACTCCCTCACAACATTATTGCCAGTAGCCTTTCAACAAAATATATATGAGGAGCCATAAGGCACATACTTCCATGATATGTATCTTGTAGTTTTTGATTGAATATTTTGTAGTGCTATCTTCATAAACTTATAATTCCCTACTTGCTATGTAATCTAACTTCCATTAAAACAATAATTTCCAAATTATGCATATTCATCACCAACAAACATTGTATAGATTCCAACTATTTATGAATATTTTGAGTCTTTTCAGCATGAACAAGCATTGATTTTATGATACACAGAATGAATTCATGAACTATCTACTTACCTGATTTAATATCAAACAGGGCGGTGGGGTATCCTAGTGGTTAAAGCGTTGGCTCGTCACGCCGAAGATCCGGGTTCGAATCCCCACATGGGTACAATGTGTGAAGCCAATTTCTGGTGTCCCCCGCCATGATGTTGCTGGAATATTGCTAAAAGCGGCATTACACTAAACTCAGTCAGTCAGTAATATCAAACAGGCGTTTACAATGTCAGTCGACAGTATTAGTATTTTTAGAAATAATAGTCCTATGTTTATTTCGCTGTGCTTTTACCTGTGCCTTTATGTCTTGTTATATCAGTGTATGTCATTCTTCGTTGTTTGTGAGTTTGCCTGTAATATTTACAGATATATTGTGAGTATTGTATACTTCCACGTTTTGTGGGTCTGGCGGAATGGGAGTCATGAGAAATCAACATCTATTTTAGGGGTCGTGATTTTCTAAATTTTGGAGTCAGGATGTGTTGAGTGTTGATCAATATATTTATTTTTATTACCTGTTATTATCTCTCAACTGTTGCCTGATGAAAATTGTTAGATTTTGTATGTGATTAGTAATCTAATGTTTGCTTCAAAATATGCAGAATCACCTTAAATTTTTTTTGTGGATTTTGATTTGATAATTAACGAGTCACAGGAAGCTTTACGCCAGGTATGACAGTGTGAAACTAGGACATCATTTCGGAAGTCTTCAAGGCCTCGCTGCCACATACAACCAATTGTTGGCTTAAAATGATTACCCGATTCCTTTGTGTGTTCATAGTGTGTCTGTATGCATATTATATCTTGCTTTGCTCAATCCAAAGATGGTACATGTACTCGTACACTACTTTGTTCTACAAGGTTTGGTTATAATAAATTGATTATTCTGAACAAAGTATGTTTTTCCTAATACATTGATTATTCTGAACAAAGTAGGTTTTTCCAATACACTGATTATTCTGAACAAAGTAGGTTTTTCCAATACACTGATTATTCTGAACAAAGTAGGTTTTTCCAATACACTGATTATTCTGAACAAAGTAGGTTTTTCCAATACACTGATTATTCTGAACAAAATATGGACCGTGTTTATATTTCTTTGGTGATTTATCTGTTTTATCTTTTATCCATTATATCAGCTTTATGATTTGTTTGAGTGGCATTCTAGAAGTTGGTGGTATAGAGATGACAACACTTTATGGATGAGTCTTTAAAATAAAGAAGTTGATCATCCATAAAGTCTTGTCATCTCTATATCAGCTTTATGTTTATATTGTGTTTGTGCAGCATTTATTTTAAAATTATGCATGTAAACACCCTGTGACATGCCTGTATGTGTGCCTGTGTTCCTGTTTTGGGTGTATTTTAAAGTTAATGTTTATTAAGACGTATGAGAGCGATATGTGACAGTTATACCTGACTTCCTGCCTGGTTATGGTTGTTTCCGGGGTTATTTAGCTACAGGTGTCAGCAATGATACACCGATATCTTTCTCTCATGCTATGTTGAGTTTGAATTGGTAAATGTTTTCATGCAATTCAACACATTACAAGAATCAGAAGATTCATTAGTACGTTCATTCAATCCCTTAATCCCAAACGTTTTCGTTATGTGGTTGTCATTTCTCGAAAAATCCCACAGGTTGCCAACTTCGTTGTGTTTGATGGACAGCTAGACTAACATCTAGTCTCAGAAATTAACATATTTTACAGAAAAAACAGTTCCTAAATGATATTATAAATCAAATGAAAAGGAGCCCAGAGACTAATGAGGTAATCTAGTCTTGCCCTTATTGTCCCCTGCCGCAACGCGGAACGGGGGACTATGTATTCAGCGGCGTCCGTATACGTACGTCCGTCCCGATTCTTGTTAACGGGATATCTCATGAACTGTTGCACCCAATGTCTTCAAATTTGATGACAGCCTACATTGGGGGATTATGCAGACACCAGTCGATTTGGGTGACCTTGACCTTATTTTCAAGGTCACCACGATACTTTGACCGCTTTTTAAAGGCGATATCTCATAAAACATTGTACCCAATGTTTTCAAGTATGTTGACAGCCTACATTGGGTGATTATGAAGACACCAGTCATTTCAGGCATCTTGTATGTGACCCAAAAATAAAAAGTAGTAAATATAGATATTCCATTCTTTAGCGGCGGGGGACATTGCCACATCAGTGGCAAACACTTGTTCTAGACTTGCATGGACTATCTTGGACATATACAATACAGAGCCTGAAACATATACACTCATGGAAACAACTAAGGGAACACATGAAAGTATGAGTGTTCCTTTATTCTTTTCCGGGGTGGTGGGGTAGCCTAGCGGTTAAAGCGTTGGCTCCTCACCCCGAAGACCCGGGTTCGAATCCCCACATGGGTACAATGTGTGAAGCCCATTTCTGGTGTCCCCCGCCGTGATGTTGCTGGAATATTGCTAAAAGCGGCGTAAAACCAAACTCAGTCAGTCAGTTTATTGTGTTCCAGGTTTCTTTACAGGGTATGTATTGCAATGTGGATGAAATTCTGGGAATAAATAAAGGAACACTTGTACATTGTTTTCCCTGATTCGTTACCATGACTGTATTTGTTTCAGGGTCTGTGTGACAGACAACATGGACAGACTATCCTATACATGTTCTCATTGCCAAAGAAACATTGTTATTGTCAGGTAATACAAATGATGAGAGATTACTATCACATTCAGCTGTGTTTGTGGCTATGACTTCGATTAGTTAAAGATCAACATGACGCACATCTGAGTTAATCAGATCAGAAGTTGCTCAAATGACATACATAAGACATACATAAGTACCTCACTTTATGTTTACTGCTCAGAAAAACTTAAGGAACACCTAATTCTAACAGACCATGCCATGACATATATTGAGTGTTATTACCCACTTGGTTCGACTTAGCTGAGTGCATAAGAATTATATGTGCATTATTATTGATGTTAATGTGAATTAAATATATAATTTTTATTAAATATGTTATTTTTTGTCTGGTTGCAATGACCTCAGTTTGTAAACAGCTCACAGTTGAATATTGTTCATGGCACTTGATAACTGTGGAAATTTCAGATAGTTTTCTTGAACTGTGTACTTTTATAAAGTGAAGCTCTGGAGGATTAAAACATATTTGGCATATATTTCACACTCGATTCTACAAAACTTGTGTAAGAATATCCCTCGCTTTTACTCATGAAATATTTGAATTCTGACACTAGTTTGGTAAAATCAGTTTGCCACACATGTTGTATAATAATCTGTATTAGTAGAATGAAAGAATATAGTGTTCCTTTACTTCTTTTGAGCAGTATACATAGCTTGTTGTCTACAGTGCAGATAGTTGAACAATTTGTTGCCAATAATGCTTGCTATTGTCTATTTTCTATGAAACAGAACATTTCTGTGAATATTTTACTATACTTTATTCGTTTATCCTGTCATGTATTTTGCCAAAGGTGCCATATCATGATTCAAAAGAGTGGTACATTACAATGACCAAAAATATCTATTATTAAAGATGACATTGTCTTTTTTATTACTTGACTATGAAGACTGTTGATTTACCTTCTCATAACTCCTTTCTTTATTTACCAAATGCTTGCACCTTTAGTCATCAGATATTATCAATAGTGCTATATCCAGCACAGAACCCAGCCTGAGACTCGGGAATCTTGTCATACTGATGACAAAAACTTGTCAACTTCTGGTTTAATATAGAAGTATATAACTTCCCCATGACATCGCTAAGCGTTATGCCTCCATAATTATTAACCTCTGTCTTCGCGCCTTTCTTGTGTAGTGGTAAAACCAGCCCTTTAGCCCATTCTATAGGGAAATTGCCACTGTCCAGAATATTATTAAACAACACATGCAAAAATGGTAATGGTTCAATTGGGATACGATGACATGTGACGTGTCTTGAAAAGTGGGTATTTCTTATGATTACTGATATAAGACAGGGTATATATTGAGGATATTATATGAGTGCCTATGTCATACTATGTTTATGACACGAGTACCTAAATGTTGGTATTTCCCGAGCGAGAGCGAGGAATATACCGATATATAGGCATGAGTGTCGTAAACATAGTATGATATGGACACGAATATTATATTCTGTTTATTACAGAAGTCTTCAAATTTA